TACGTAGACATGTCGGCCATGTTTAAGGGTTTCTTGCATACAGACCAGGGTGGCAATGTTGCATTATGAGATCGCGTGAACCTACAGTGTACTTGGTTAGCAATTTCTTGCATGAAGCCTAGTCGTTTTTCCGGTAAACAGTCGTTCATCGAAAAAATGCAGATTTTAAGAAAGTCGAAACAGGACTGCGAAATCCGTAAAATGCAATCGCTTTTGACTATGCGATAAAACCGAGTAACTGTTACGTCTGCGTGTACGGAATTTCATCTGCAATTAGAGTTAAGTTCATCGCTCGAAAGCTCTAGCTTCGCAGCTTGTCCGATTAACGAAATAACCACTTGACTACAATCATCTTTGAAGTACCCCAAGTTCTAGCGCAAGTGCAAATCGGAACTCAATTTAGATAAACGATTTTCAATATGGACGATATTCTGACAAAATTTCAGCAACTATTTTTGGACTAGCTTTTTTGTTGGCAAAATGTCAACTGCGAAATTTGAATTGACCATATGAGCGGTACAAACTTGCGCGACAGCTAAATTTGAAATCGTTAACTCACACAAGCACAAAGAATATCCTTGCAAAGTCTCAGTTTCCTGTCCTGCCTGGCTCACGAAATCGTTTCCCGCTGAAGAAATTCGCATATTTTTTCTGGGGAAAGTCTGCACGCGAGATCGAGGCGCGTATGAGCGATGATTTTAACTCCCAGTATTCCTGGCTGCTGAGTTGAAAGTGTGTGACAAAGTTCACTCGTTTCTGAGCACACATACGTGGATGACCTCTCGGCAATATGCGTTTTTGTCCGCTGTGGCAGCGCCATAGCGCTACACAGTAAAAACGCATAATAACGAGTTACTGGTCTTGAAAGCACTGAACATTGAGATAGGCCACAGTAGAAAAAACGCAAAAAAGGGTGCCATTTGAAGAGATGGGATGACGTCCTAAAGAATGAGCTGGATTTCGCACCCTCCTTTCGAAACCACTGCATAAAATCCTGTCTTTTATTTGTTTAATTAAAAATTTAGGACAAAACGAAAATAGGGTGCATCGCTAATCTCTTCAAGCCTGAACCGTAAAGAACAACTCACGTCGTCGCTCGCATGTTTCCTTCTCTTTTGCTGAATTTTGAACTGTTTATCCACCTTAACTTTGCTATGTTTCTCCCTGTAGCGACGCACGTGAAACAGTACGAAATTCCATAACATATACAGCTGCAGTGCCAAAACGCACAACAGGCTGTTCAACCTGTAACACTTGTTTCGATGGTAAGTCGGCGATGACACGCCGAGCGAGCCAGACAGTCAAACCACTTCCAGCCTTGCATCTTAAGAGTAGCAACAGCAGCAACTGTGCCACTACCGAGTAAGTGATGCTGGCAAAATGCGTCCAGGAGAATCAATCCAATGCGCCATCAAGTTCATAAAAAGCTAAACACGAGGTCAAATGGGCCGAAAAAAAAACTCTGTAGGTGAGCTACACAAGAAAATCTTTAACCGGATGAAAGCGGTATTGAAATTTCCATTGACTGGATCCATGTAAGGTGTTTCGTTAGATCGAAGACCGTACCACAAAGTGAGCACAGCCAACACCGCGCTTGCTAAACGCACCAGTACAAAAACAACGTTCCATGCTTTAAATCTAAATTTGCACAAATCATCACAAAAAAATGCGGGAATTCTGGTGCACAAAGGCTGAATTTCTCGCTATACTTCTGGATGGCAGACGGAAGGCTTAATACATTCGCTATGCTCAGCTCGAATTCTTCAGATCAAAGTTGTCAGTGCGAGTCTTTCCATGATTCGTCGATCTGTTTCGACAACATACAGATATCCGCACCCCTAGTATGCCGGGAAGTTAACCAGCCCTCAGTTAGTTAGTTTCCCAAGCAGCCTTGGGTGGCCCTGCAGCTGACTGGTTGCACCATCCCAACCAGTACCTATCTTTCTTCCGAGAGTTCTGTCCTCCCACAGGGGTGTGGGAGCGGAGTAACAGAACGAAGAAGCAAGGAAGCGAAAAGAGCACGAAGGAATACGGGAAGAATCTCATATTCACGCGGAGCAACTATTCATGAAATTTT